TATGCACACACACACACATACTAGTGGGGTACTAACGCAATACAATAGTGACGATTGGTTTCATTTCGATTAGGGGTGAGCAAAACCGAACACGAAAACCCTAAAATAAAAAAAACCGATAAAATCGAAACCGAACCGACACCGTTGGGTTTTGGTTTAAATTTTTAAAAACCAAAAAATGGATTTTGGGTTCGAATTTAGTATCTCAAACCGACACAGCCCGTTCGGTTTGAAACCGACCCAACCCAAGATTATTACATGCTTTTCAATTGTATGCTATAATTTGACTTTTTATGTGAAATGTAATATACATCAAATGTAAAAGGATGTGGATTTTGATACTAAATTACAACATTATATATGGCTTGTGTTGTTTTAGTGTAATCGAGATTATTACCTAGTTCTTTGCTACTTGTTTTTTATTCTAAAAATTTGTTAAAGTTGGTTGTTGTAAATTTTTAACAACATACTTTTGTTGTTGTGTTAGTGTGTTGAATTTAGATTTTTTTTTAGTTTCTTTAATCTAGGTTGTTGAATTTGTTTCATTTTTAAGTTATAAAGATTTGCTAAAAAATGGGTTACAACCCAACCCAAAACCCATCAACCCATGCGTTCAACCGAAGAACCCAAAAACCGAAACATACCAAAAAACGAACCCGACAGGTTTTAAAATCCAGAAATCGAAATACACGGGTTGGATTCGGTTTTACCCTAAAACCGACCAAACCCGGCCCATGCTCAGTGCTCACCCCTAATTTTGATGATTAGTTTAGAGCAACAATTAGTTTCATTTCGTTGAGCATTATATTTTTTTTCCATTTGATGAATAGTTTGTTGTCTGTAAACTTAAACGAATGTTCACCAACATAGATGAATGAATAAGACTATTGTTCAAGTTCGTTCATTTAAATAAACAAACGAGAATTTGTGTTCATGTTCGTTCAATTACTAAATAAACAAACATAAACGAACTTCCCGCCAAATGGTTCTCTGAATGTTCGGTTTGCTTATAGCTAGGGATGAGCAACGAAACTGGGTACCCGTTTTTGGAACCAGAACCACCTCGGAATCGTCTGTTCCGAAATCGGAACCCCCTTAAGCGGTTCCGGTTTAGGCTCTTATTTTACGGAACTGCTACCCGCCGGAACCGATATATATATATATCATAATCACATACTTTTTACGCTATCTTGAATAACATGCTTTAAAATTTTAGAATTTTAAGTAATTTGTTTGGAATCGTTAAATGTTTTCAGAAACACACATTTTTTCGTCATGTTATTTAATCTACTAATAACTTTTTTAATACTAATTTTTAATATGTAACAAATTACATATTGATGTTATCAATAACTTCTTATAATTTTACAATAAATATATTTTTATGAGTTTTCAATTTAATGAACCGGATAGCCAATATTGGAACAGCTACCCGTTGGTTTCGGTTCCAATATTTTAAGAACCACCGGTTCCGGTTCCATATAATTAGGGTGGGAATCGCCTATTCTCATCGCTACTTAGAGTCCTATCAAATTAAATAACAAGAAAATATATCCATTAAATTTTTCTGTTTAAAAAATAAGTAAGCGGTGACGACAAAGATTGACATCACTATCCAAGGGTGATGAGAATCGACAAACCTAGGTTTTCTTTCCACATTTTTATTGAACAATATATTCCATTATGCTATGTTCTTTAGACCAGAACATTATACACAAAGTCGGTCCAAAACCAATTGCGATGTTACTTGAGCACCAGTTCTGAAATCCCCCTCGATCTCTTCTTTTCTTTTTATATTTTTCATAATTCGTAAAGATTCTCACTGTGGTGACTGTGGTTGATGGCAATCTTGGTGGTTTTCCTTGTACTATTTCTGATTAAGCCAGGAGTTTCACAGACAAACAACAGCCAAAACAATATTAACACACCCATCAGATCATTCTGTGGTCGTAACCCTCCGATAATTCTATCAAATTTTGTCAACAACCGCAATTCTACCCTAGCTGAGATCAGAAGAAAACTTTCAAGCAAGGATGTCTTCTATGCTACAGCACAGAGTTTAGCCGAAAAAGACTCCGTCTTTGGAGCTGCCCTGTGCAGGAACTACCTCTCCACAGCTCAGTGTGTGGCTTGTTTCGATGAGGGTGTAGCTCAATTAATCGGCTGCGTTACTGGCAATGGCGCTTATGTTTTCTTGGATGACTGTTTTGTCAGGTAAACTTTTCTTGTATCTATAAAATCTACTAATTCAAAATTTTAATTAGTTGAAGAAGCAACCAGTTTTACAAAACTCAATATATATTTTCAGGTGCAATTGCTCCGCTATTAAGTTTGAATTTTTATTTTATAATTTATATATTCAACTTTTAAACCATTTTAAAATCTCCATAGAATTCGTCCTTTCTAATACTTCCCATCCTTTGTCTTGTTTGTTTGGCTGCGATATCCAGCGGCTCCTCAAACTTCTAGTAATTTAAAAACTTTTACTAACTTTTTTTGTAATTTTAAGATTAATAACTTTTTCTGTTTTTTTTTGCACTGCATATTGTTGACAAAAGAAAATGTAATTATGTTGCCTGCTAATGCCGGCAACCAACTGGTATTCCTTATTTTCCATGTCTTCACTTTTCCACAATGCCTATATTTAATTTATTTCATTTCATAAAAAATATACATGTAGTCCATAGTGTTATAATAATGTATAATAATTACAAAATGTAGTCCATGGCAGGGACTACGTATATTTTAGATGGGTCTTAGGATCTATCTAAATTTTAATATTTTTTTAAAAATTATATAAATTTTTTTTAGGATCTATCTTGTAGTATTGAAAAAATTGAAGGCCTATGTAATTTTCGATGAGTGAACCATGTGTCATGTGTTTTAGATTCGACATTTTATGGGGTATTTTTATATGGTTCTATGGATAGATCGAAGTTTATGGTTCCATATTTTCCATATATTCCTTTGATTTGATCCATAAAACATTATGAAAATGCATATTCATCTTAACAAATCAAAAATATATTTTCATATATAATTAAACATAATTCAATTTTAAATTATATTTTACTTATTATTCTATATAACCACAGCAAAGAGTAGTGTTTACTTCCATAAAGTTGGAACCAAAATATCCACACGTTATTTGGAATTTGTGACTTCTAAAACTGTCAAGTTGTTTAAAGTTTAAAGGATAATAATCAAACTTGTTTGAAAATGTCACCATCAAGATACAATAAATACTGGATCAATTCAACGAATACCTTTTCTCTTATTTCCGTCAAAGTGCATGACTTTTGTACCAGAAGTCAAATTCAATGTTTGGTGGCTTGGAATTTTGCAGGCTACTTATGTCTTTTATTACTTGTTATTTTCGTGTCATATTTCACCGCCCATTCATTTTAACTTTATTCTTCAAAACTCAAAAAATTGTGGCATTTCATTTTACTTTATTTTTTTTCTTTTTAAATAAATTTATTAAAAATTAAAACTATAATTTAATAAATAAATTCAATTAATTAGCATAGGTATTTTTAGAGTTTTATATATATATATATATATATATATATATATATATATATATATATATATATATATATGAAAAAGTTCAATAGAGAATAATAATTATTGGTTCTCCAAGAAACCAAATCTTTTTTTAAGTTCTATAGCTTATTCTTTATCGAAAAAAAAAAACTAAAAATATCTAAATTCATAACTTAACATTGTGAATGATAAATATATTTTTCGATTTCACCGTGTGAATTTAGATTCACATTGTGAATTTGACGAAATTTTTTTTATCGAATTTGTTATAATTGGAAAAATGATAAAAAGTTATAAATTTATGTATTTTTAGTTTTTTTTTATAAAAAATAAGTTCTATAATTTGAAAAAAAGATTGGTTCTTTGGTTCATTTGTTAATTATGGTTCTCTATTGAAACCCACCCTATATATATATATATATATATATATATATATATATATATATATATATATATATATATAACGTTATTTTGTCTCAAATTAATGTTATTTTGTCTCTAAAGAATTTCACAACATTAGTCAGCACCATGGAGCTAGGTATATCAATTGGTTTAATATGGTAGGAATGGATGATCTAATCAAGAGTACGATTGTCAGGAATGGTGACTCACATGGTTTACATTAAAGTGTTTGTCCATACATATCAATGAGGAGGGGCAATACTTCAAGAGGTTTTGGATTTTGGATTGGTGATATGGTTAACTGGCATATGGTTAACTTTTTGTGCATCTAAGAGTGAAGATTGGAAAACATTAAAGAGGGTCACGTACAACCCATTTGGGGAACGAAGAACATGATACACTTGGATCCAAATTTTTTAAACCATATAAATTTCTGCAGATTCATTTTCCTCTCTTTGGCCAGCTTTGAGTGTTACAAGTTTGCATATGCTATATTGGTGATTTTAGTGATATCAATAAATTTTAGGGTAGTTAGTTTTGTTATTAAGACAAACTGAGTTCTATTTTCTATTTGAGATTGGAGGTGTGGGGTGCCCATTCGAATTGTCAGCGCTCCTTGCGAGGTCACGAAAGCAGAGCCCCTGTCGGTCGTTCCCGCCAAAGATAGGTTGTGAATTTGTGTTTCTCAATTAAAATTAGGCTTGTGAATTTGTGTTTCTCAATTAAAATTAGGCTTGTAGTTCAGATTTATCCTACTTCTGAATTTGTGTACCCTAGGCAATAGGAAAGAGTTATAGATTTCAGAAAGTATTGGAAAAAATGATCCTAGAAATTATCCAAGTTTACATATTGTTATTCTGATTCCCTAAAACTAACACGCTTCACTCGAGTCACTGCTCTATTTTCTTGGACACAAATTTTAGGGATTTCCAGTAGAGCCGCTTTCAGTTTTTTAGTTCTTGGCTTATCGAGGACAACTTGGATTAGATAGTCAAAGATAGATGGCATACCAAGCAAGATTTGGATTACATAGTCAAAGATAGATGGCATACCAAGCACGTTCGGCTTTCCATTTTCCCTAAAATCAAGAGACTTTCAAAAATATTAAGAAAATTAAAAGCATGCCATCCTTAAGAAAAAGGTGGAAGCCATAGAAACCATTGTAGAATTTGCCTTGTTGGATGAAGATTTCATTATGGAGATGGTATAATGTATTTCTATACTCCAAGATTTCAAAACCAAATCTCTTTTGAATCTAAGGCAAAAGCCACGTTGTAAATGGGCCCTTGATGTCGATGAGAACACAAGTTATTTTCACGACTTGTTACACTCGAGAATAAACAACCTCAATATTAATGGATCTTTGGTTTCTTATCCGAAAATAATCAAATATGAGATTTATAAATACTTTACAGTCAAAATTCAAGATCTACAAACACAACTTTTATAGCGAAAAAGTCTTGAAAATCATGGACACATAAAATAATTCCTTGGAAGCACCGTTCACATATGAGTAGATAAAGGAGGCGGTGTAGGATTGTGGAAATGAAAAGGCACCTAAACCTGACAGTTTTACTTTCCTAATTCATAAATAATTCTAGGATATCATGAGCACGGAGATCATTGACCTCATTGGATATTAGACTCATTAACCTCATTGGATATTAGACTCATTAACCTCAGTGGGTGCATGAAAAAATTATTTCCAGAGTACTTGCGGAAAGCCTCAAGAAGGTTATTCATTAGCTTATTTGCAACGACCAATCAACTTTCGTTTCGGAGAAAATTATCTTAAATGGCCCGTTAGTAGTTAATGAGGTCATCAATTGTGCCAATAAGAAGGGAAAATAATTATTATCTTGAAGGGGGACTATGGTAAGTGTTTCGATAACCTCAAATGGAACTTCTTGGATGATATGTTGAACTCCATGGGCTTAAGAGTTGAACTGAGGACTTGGACCCGTGCATCTCTTATACGTCAATGGTATTAGTAGTTATAAATGGGTCCCTCGTCAACCAATTCAATTTTAAGAAAGGGGTGATACATGACACCCAGGGCGGTCCTATAGTTGGGGCAGTTGCCCCTACAACAAATAAAAAATTAATTAAAAAATAGGTTTTTTTTTCCAAAAATATTATATTTTAAACCTTCAAAATTATATATTTTGATTCTTCAAAAATATTTGTCCCCCATAAAAAGTTATAAAATAAAATTGCACCATTTTCTGAAAAATTCTTGGGTCTGCCCCTGCCCCTGCCCCTGCCCCTGAGGACACCCCTTTCTCTTTCTTTGTTTTCATAATCACATTAGAGAAGCTAAAATTAGTTGTTTTGGAGGCAAGTTCTATAAAAATAGTTTTTTTTTTTTTTTTTTTTTTTTATTTTTTTATTTTTTTATTTTATAAATTGTTTCAATCAATCCGATTTTACCGGTTCCTATAGCTTTGGATATTTTTGCTCGAAACCGGTTTGAAACCGATCTGGTTTTGACTCAAACTGGCTTTGACTTTTGTTGACCAAGACCAATATGAAGGCGTTGATTTCCTCAACGGAGCGCATCTTCTGCATTAATCAATTGGTTAGCTTTGTCAATTGAAACGTCAACATCTCTATATCTCTTGCAGACTGTGATGTAACAACCTCGTTTCCCGCCCCCTTGTCGTGTACTGTGACGTTGACGTTTGATCTCGTCGGGCTTTTAACCGGAGAGTTTACCGGAAAATCATGTTTTCCCTATCACATTCCGATCCTTCAAAACTTTCCATAGCAAAATCACTATCATTAAGATTGGGTGCCCATGTTTATTAATCAACTGTGTTTTCCATCACCGTATAACCACATAGTTCTCATCCTCACCTTAGGTGGAAAGGTTAGAATTATGAAGTCGGAAGATTAGTATCGCGATCCCAATAAACGATATAGCTTTACTTTGAAACCTATCCCTCGCTAGCTTCTTAATTAATACTATTAGTTGTTCTTGCTCTCCAAAAAAATCAGTTAAACATGTCAATCATATACCTACAAGATATTATCTCTTATATTATGTTTGGCCAAAAAGATTGTTAATTTGGATTGTGGGCGTATTATTTACTATTTTCTACAAGTTGTGAAATAATCATATCTTTATTATATTCAGCAAGTTTGGGAAAACATTTCTAATGAATCAAAGCCCTTTGTTGTTAAGCTACGAGAACTATAATGACTTCTATGCTAACCCAGATGTGGTCGAGAACGCTGGTATAGCACCACTTCAATTATGTGGCAATCAGATGCCATATCAGCCAGCTATTTTTACCAAAGCTGTAGATGGGTTGTTATCAGATATTAAAGATGCCACTCCAAAAACCACTAATTTCTATGTAGCATCTACAAGGCAAAACACAAATGGAAATGGAAATGGAACTGTGTATGCTATTGCACAGTGTATTCAAAATATAACCCAGGGCATTTGCCAAAACTGCATCAATGCAGCGTATACTAGTTTATCAAATTGCCTTCCTAACACAGAAGGAAGGTCTATCTACATGGGTTGTTTTGCAAGGTATTCAGAGACTCCGTTCTTCAACAATAACCAAACAATAGACATCACAAATTTCATAAAAGGTTAGACTATTACTTGACGTTTCAAGGTTATTTGGTTTCTAATCTAGCTGTACTGAATCCATTAATTGTTTCCTTGCTGATTCACAAAACAATATAACAGTTGTTGGGCATTCAAGTAACGTGCCCAAAATTGTTGGAGCAATTGGTGGTGTAGGTCTTATATTCATTTTGATTGTTTATTGGTTATGGTTTCGACTGTGGAAGAAATCTAAGAAGACAGAAGAAGGTAATTGTAAAACTTTGTATTATTTCCCAGTATATTTGTTAACAAAATGTTAGGCTTAGCTCCATCATACTGATAACATCTATCTCTATCTATGTGAACCATGTGATGCCTTTATAGGCGAACCAGACTTGGACAGGAGAATTAACTACAATTATAAACATCTGCAGTCCGCAACAAACAATTTCAGCGAAGATAATATTTTAGGAAGAGGAGGTTTTGGGGAAGTGTTCAAGGTAATAAAAATGAACTTTTTGTATTGCATATTTTTTTTTATGATGTTATCACTATTACACCGAAACAAGTTAGTTATTATAGCTTTAAAATGATATCACTTCGGATTTAATACCTAATTAATTTCATATGTTAGTGATCAAATGGGAGTGCTATTATTTCTTTGCTATTATATGTTTGAAGCAACTACATTAAAACTTAACTTATTAATATGACTAATTTCTTCTGTATATTTTTATTAGGCGCTTCTTGATGATAACAATATTGTGGCAATTAAGAAAGTTCAAGTAGGGAATGCTAAAGCGAAAGAAGAATTCGAAAACGAAGTGAAGCTCATAAGTAACGTTCACCATCGAAATCTTCTTCGTCTCCTAGGATGGTCAAGCGAAGGATCTAATCTACTTCTTGTCCTTGAATACATGCCCAATGGCAGCCTTGACAGATTCTTGTGGGGTAAGTTGCATGCATATACATCATCAATGATAATTATTAAAATTGAAATAGATGGAAATATTAAAATATGTCTTGATATATAATGTAGGTGCAAAAAAGGGGACTTTGTACTGGAAACAACGACATGACATAATATATGGGATAGCCAGAGGTCTTGCCCATCTACACAATGAATTCCATGTAAAAATCATTCATAGAGACATAAAGTCAAGCAACATTCTCCTTGATCATGATTTTCAACCAAAAATAGCAGATTTTGGGCTGGCAAGGTTTCACCCAGATGATCTTAGTCATATTAGCACCAAGTTTGCCGGGACATTGTAAGTTTCATATATATATATATATAT